ACACTAAGTATATGCACATACAGAATATCTCATAAATTCCTCATATTGTTTTTACTTCAAATATTAATAAATTTTGATGTAAACATTCTAGGTATAGCTACTGAACTGTATTCTCTTCTCATACTGATAGAACTTCATTCTGCCATTCTGCCATGGGGCAGTCATGGTTTATCACAGGGTCTGAAATGAAATTAAACCAATGTGCTTGGTCATGTCATGTTGCTGTCTCCAACAACATGCTTTTGAATGTCAGATATAGCTTGTTTCTAATATGTTTAAAACTCACAAGATATATATGTATCTTGTGAGGAAGGGAGAGAGAAAGAGAAAACAAACCAGATTAGAGAAGGAATTTCTGGTCCTTTGGCTTTTTCTAAGATATTCTATAATATTTTGATAGATTATTTGCACTTACTTTCTCTCTGTCCTGTGATTGGCTAAAATCACAGAACTATTTTGGAATCCTCATTTCATGGGTTCAAGGTCGATGTATCACACCCCCACATTATAGCACCGTCCACGCCCATTCACACATGGACTCATTCATTCTACTAACCATCTGTACTTCATAATACAAGTGGAGACCAGGCTTTTGCCCTGAGGGTTTACTATCTAACAAGGAAATCCATTTATTTAGTTTTCTAACCAAAATAATGCTTTCTCATTCAAGAGATGTACTTGTGCATCTGCTATTTATTTGGCATGCATTTCCCCTCTCTATTACTCACTTCACAGTTTTGGTTTAGCAAATGCATTGGATGAAATGAGTAAAGTTATGTAGACCAAAACAGTAGGAAGTGCTAATTGTCATCAAATAGCCAAGTGCTGAGTTTGTAAGCAAAAGGTATAGTTTGATACCCCAGCCATTTGGGGCTGGATTCTTTCTAAGATTGCCATAATTCTGTTTCTAATAGACAGTTCTTTTGACCTATATAGAATCAAAATAATTTGTCACCAGAATTAAAATAAAATTGACAATATTTGAGAATGAACTATTGACCATGCCCTGTATGTTATACTATGGTTTAAAGTTATATAAAGTGTAGTACTTTAATACAAAATCATAATCGCTGAACAAGTACCTATTTTAAAAAAGGAGTAGCCACCAGGAAAAAAGACTAGTTACTAAAATTCCATATTCTGTCTGACTGCCTTCCAAACTTCCATTTACTTGGTTATAGGTGTAAAGTCAATTACTTGAAATTGTGGCATCCTAAATGCCAAAGTTACGTAGAGTGGGAAATCAGGTGAGGTAATCATTTCTACTTTTTCTTTCTGAAATTCACCACCACTACCAAAAAAACCTCAAAATGCAAAAATGCTGGCTTTCATGGTCAAATGTATTCTAGTTCATTGTCACCTAGCTTTAGGTTCACAACTTGATACATCTGTCAGACAATGGAGGGAGAGACTTGAGAGGAACAGAAAAAAGGGAGGAGAAAAGAGATTCCTCAAAAGGATGAACCTGTGAGGGGCAAATGACTCAGCAAAATCCTCACACAGTAAAAATGACTTTTTACAAGTTCTTGCCCTTCTATGTTCTTGCATTTTTCTGTGTCCTAAACTATTTCTTTTAAGATTTAATCCTGTTTTTTCTTCTCTCCCTCATATTTTTCTTCCCTCCCTCTAGCTCTATAATGGACAAAAACTCACACTTAAGTGCCTGGTATTGGGCCTAAGCAAAGCTCCCGCAACTCTGTTGATCCTGCCATCCCTCCTGAACAGAATGCTCTTCCACTCCAACTCACCTCACTGTGACCAAACACATGGCTCTATTCTTTTGAGCTCACGTAAAACAGCTGTCCCCAACCTTTCAGGTGCCAAGGACTGGTTTCATGGAAGACAATTTTTCCACAGTCCAGGCTGGGGGTGGGGGGATGGCAAGCAATGGGGAGCAGCTGTAAATACAGATGAAGCTTCGCTCTCTCACCTGCCGCTCGCTCACCTCCTGCTGTGTGGCCCAGTTCCTAACAGGCCATGGACCAGTACAAGTCTGCGGCCCGGGGGTTGGAGACCACAGAAGTAAAACATGCTGTGAAAATAAACCCAATGAGTGTATCTATAGTATCATGTGAGCATACGCCGACTATATTAACTCCATGTATTTTGTTGCTTTGAAGTGATCACCGTCTTAGATCCTCAGTTATATCTGGCTTTTTTAACTCAAGGTATGTGTAAAATGGCAATACAAAACAAAAGTAACAAAGCATATGTTTGGATGGAAAATTAATAATTAATTGTCGTCACTATAACTTCTAGAAAGCACAGCAAGGAGGGCTCTCAGGAAAAGGGTCCTAAGAAACACAAATCCTGTCTCAACTGGACATCTACTATAGACTAAATATGTACACATGTGGGCAGCCGGTAGTGCACAGTGCATTTTAATATTTTTAAAAACAGTTAAATGATCAAATCCCTGAAGATACAGTATTTTTCTTTTTCTTTGCCCAGGAATCTGTTTTGGAAGCCAATTCAATGATTACTACTAGGACATGGAATTTTGATATCCATTTGGTACTGATTTACACCAGTATTTTTAAGGCTGCCAATAAGAAAGTCCAGAATTTCAGGCAGCCAAAATTCCACAAGAGACAACTGTCTTTTATTTTATAGCTTATGAATTTGGGGCTTAATATGATTTTCCACTAACAAGTTCTGTACCCCCTCCAGAGTGCTAAAGCTAGTGCGTAGATCAGCAAAGTAACACGGAAAACATGAGGCAAGTTAATATTAGACTTGAAGGAAAACTGTACAAATTATATTGTTTACTTAGGAAGAAAGCACTCTGGCTGAAAGGGCTGACATATGATTTATTACAAACACTTCACCAGCGTGTTCACATTTGTACCCTCAATCCCATTTGCAGCAGTCGTTGGTGGTGTCGTGGCGCTGATACAATATTAATGAAGCCATCAATTAAAAATCCACTAAATATTGGTAAGGAACATTAAATACTTCATGACTTCTGTTTTTATCAAGTGGCTAGGAAAAAATGCAGAATCATGTCCAGAATGAGTCATAAATCACAGGCAAATAACGCAGGGATCAGTTAGATGAGTAACTTTTTTAAAGCATAAGTAAACGAAGAAACTGTTTAAATAAAAACAACAAAATGTTCTTGGTTTCCAGAAACAATCCCATTGCAAAACAAAACCTCCATACATAATTAGAAAAAAAATAGTATAGAATTTCTTCCTATGCTCAAAGCAATCTTTGGAAAAGAGTCAAAGAGATAATAAATATTGGAACGCTTATATGATTAGATATGCTTTTTACAGAAGTCATGAAATCTGCCCCAGAGGCAATGAAGAAAAGGGGAAACATGTATCAGTCCCATAATATTTAAATGTTCCAACCTAAATGACTTTCCCTAGGATTCCAGGCTTATCCCAAAGCCTTCATGTTTCATACAATTTGTAATGTGGTTTTATATACTTGTTCTCAATCTGAGTCAGCAAAGATGTATAACAGATAACATCAGCATAGGAAGCTATAGAATTATTTATCTGCAAAGTGACATTCGATATCAAACACTAAGCCCTGCAATGTTTTTCAGTAAAGAGAAATTATCTCACATAATTTCACAGGTGAGGCCTATGGGAAAAAAACGTAAAGGAAATATTTCTAAAGCAGAAGTCCGCCATAATTACTACCATACCAGAGGCCCTTCATATTTCACATTAGTATTTCTAAACTGTCATCCTAAAACCTGGCCATGGTGCCTACCATGGGAAGACAACTTCTGGACACTCATCTTCAGGATGCACTCTGCCTTCCTGAAAGGGATAAGAATATCTGATGGATTCTCAGGCTCCCCAGAGACAAGGACATTGCATTATATATGAGCACCATAAAATACTACTGTATTTCTAAAACAGTAATTGTACAAAACACAATTATTTTAAACATGTTGCCACTCCATCTAATAACTGTTAAACATGAGTACGAGCAAATGGCAGAAAGACTTTTGAAATTCATTCTTAACTTTATAGTAGAAACATTTATATTAAAAAAAAATCTCCATTTAAAAATATATTGGTAAATTACTTTATGAAATTTATAATTACCTAATAACGTAATTTTATCTACACAAACTTTAAAAACTGACGGTGAGTGGATACATTATTTCATACCAAAAGTTACTCTATCTAATAGAAAATAAAATAATTTCTATAAATTAATCTTCAAATCTTTGAAGTACCAATTTACAAGACAGAACATTGAAAAAAGTCATCATTCTATTTGTAAAGAAGGCCAAGATAATGCATGTCAGGTGGCAGCCAACCACGTTAAATATTGCTACTATCAATCCTGGCCCTCGGTCAAGAACATGCATTTGTGATTCATTTAATCAGGAATAATTATTTTATTTGTTTCTCCCTCTTGGCACAGAGTTATGACAAATTTCATTATTAATCTCTCATTAGATTTTCAAAAGACACCACACCGAAATTCAAATTATGGCTAAACTCTACAAGTGTGGTATGTGGGGGAAATGGAGAAATGCATCTCTGTATCAGATCCACAGACAGTCACTTCATCTTAAAACTGAAATTTATCCTTCCAGATTTCCTCTGTGTGTTATTTTCTGTCCTAAATTGATTCCTTATCTAGCCTTTACTAATTTGTTTCAGATATAGCAGTGTAATCAGCAGCGATGTGACCAGAGTGCACACTATACTTTATTTCCATATAAACATTTTGGCAGTCAATGAAGTTCATTGAGTCCTTTGGAAATCTAATCATACAGAAAACAGGTATAACAGAATATACACTACTTGATATATACATGTGCGAGTCCTGAGAGCAGCACATAAGGGTTAAAAGAGGGAATTATTCTCATTAAGGCTGGAAGAAATTTGAGAAACGTTAATGGGCAGGTTTTAAAATCACTGACTAAATCACTTGCTTTTAGATAAAAATCTCAAGGAGCTTGCTTGAGAATGTTTTGCTCAGTCATTCATGACTGATGGTGAACACTGGTTGGCATCCCAATGGTTTTATATTTGAACTTCATCTTCTGCTTTAAATTCATGGCATGTACCACTTATGTGTATTCCTACTAATTCTCCATCTGACACCAGTGGAGACATGGCAGGAGTCTGCATGGTTAACAGGGAAAGAGAGGGAGAAAAACTTGGAGTCATAGCTTCTGGGAGAGAACCAAGATGGTAGGGGATGGGGGAGCGTGGGTGTTTTTGAAGGACCTGCCCTGGGGTTATAGCTGGCTTTCTTGGTGGAACTGCTTTAATCCCAGGTTGGGCTACTGCTGTTATCAAAGGGGGTGGAAAAACAAAAGATTTCTTCTCTTTTGGAATGCCAGGCATATGTAAATATTCATCCTTTAGTTTTGCAATATCATTAAATACTGAGGCAAGAGGCTGGAACTTGGGTTCCCAACTGAGGAGATAATCCCAGTGATAGTTGCCTCTTCCTTGACGATCAGAGGTTATCGGAGTTGAAAGAGCTGCACATCTTGCTTCCTGATCACCCGAAGTGAAGATAGATTCTTTCCTGACATCAGCCAGGATGCCCTCTTTTGCCTCTCTTTTCTGAACTGTCTGGGGTAACACATTATTTTGAACATAAGTGGTGCTGCAGCCTTCCCCTCGATCTCCTTCCTCAAATGCTTGGCTGGCTTCTGCTGTTTCGGCCGTGACCATCACATCAGTTTCCCCAGACAGGCAGGAGAGCTGGTCTGAGTCCCTGGGGATTCCCGAGTCTGGAACCCTGGACTCCCGGTCACTCAGCACTGAGTCCGAGCCCTTTCTGTAAGGATGCTCATTTATCCTCTGGATTTCCTTGTCTTCTGCAGTTTCTCCTTCTATAGAACAGTGGCCACTGGAGTTGGAGTGCCTGTACAGATTAATAATGTCCTTCTCCATGATGCTTATTAAACTCAACCATTCAGGCGTGGGGGCCACAGGCACGGCTTCCTTGTTGCAGTCAGTTTTCTGGAAGGCCTTGAGCAAGCTGGCATCGCTGGTCACTCTCAAGTTAGTATCTAAAGATGATGAGGTTTCCTTCTCATAATTGTTTATTGTGTCTTTTTGTTTATGTCTTAAAATCAGCACAATTAGAATGCAGACAAGTAAGAGAAACACTAAAAAGGACAGGGTGAGGCTGACGGAAAAGCTATTGGTGGATGCTGCCACGTGTGTTCCTTCCGAGGCGAAAGATACATTCACAAAAACCATGCAAGATGCAAACTTGGAGTCTGGTTTGGGGCTATGAGCAAGTATTTTCATTTCCATGGTGTCTTCTTTGCTGACTTGATTTTTTATTAGGGGAATGGCTCTAATCAAATAAATATTTCCATTAGTTTTATTTACTGAAAAGAAAGGAGATGAAGATCCAAGAGAGTAAACAATGATTCCATCGAGACCAGCATCTGCATCTGAGGCTTCCACTCTGCCAATCAACTGTCCTATGTTATTCTTTTCTGAGAGGGTGAAAAAATACTGATCTTGAGTGAAAATGGGTTCAAATTCATCTATCCCTTCAATATCCACCCAAACCATTAAGGAGGCTGTTGAGTCACCTTTGTCTTTGGCCTGAACTGTGAGGCAATATTTATTACCATTTTCATAGTCAAGGATTTGCTTAGCACGAATATCCCCTGTCAAAGGGTCAATGAGGAAGAGATCATGATCATAAGACATTCCATGAGGGATAAAACAGGGCGACAGAATTGAATAGGTCAATTCTCCATAAGGCCCTGCATCAAAATCCAAAGCATTTACAGAACATACGGTGGAGAAAACAGGCAGATTTTCTGGAACGACACAGTTGAAGCTTGAGAACATAAACTGAGGTGTATGGTCATTATCATCTAGGACATTGACAAACACAACTGCAAAAGAAAAGTGCTTCTTTTCTTCATCAGAAGCTTGGACAGTTAAAGTAAATTTTATCATTTCTTCATAATCCAGAGGTTTGCTCAAATAAAGAACTCCAGTTTTTTCTTCTAAGTAAAAATGCCCCTTCTCGTCTCCAGAGACTATGTGGTAGATGATTTCTGCATGTGAGCCCACGTCATGGTCATCTGCGGAGACCACAGTGATGTGACTCCCGAGAGGGGTGCTTTCCTTGACGTGGACGTGATACTTGGGACTGCTGAACCGAGGTGGGTTATCGTTGACATCAAGGACTTCTATGGATATGACGGCTGTGGTGCTCAAGGGAGGGCAGCCGTGGTCAGATGCCAGAATGACAAGTTTATGGCTGGCGGTTGCTTCTCTGTCCAGACTGTGAAGCAACACGAGATAACCAACTTGCTCATAAGGATGTGCTGAATGAATGAAACTAGTTTCCACGTGGAAATTTTTCTGGGAATTACCGCTGATGATGGAATATTCAACATATGTGTTTTCACGGGTCCAGTCATGGTCGATGGTTGAAAATGTGACAACTGTGCTTCCAATCAGGGTATCTTCACTCAAGCTAAGATTATAGTATTCTACTGTAAACTCAGGGGCGTGATTGTTCATGTCTTGTATTTCTATCTCCACTAAGGTAAGGGCCTTCAGATCTGGAAGTCCGCCGTCACTGGCTTCGACAAGAAATTGAATTGTTGATATTTTATCCAGAAGTAATATGGGATTGATAGTAAATATTGTACCTGAGGAACAAGACATAATACTTTAATATGAAATTAAATTTTCATGATCCATTTAGTCAGCAAATGTTTACTATCTACTAATGTGTTTAGCTCCTTGTTAGATTTAAGTCATAATTAACAATGACTCCAATTAGAAATGCAAAGTTATTACACATATTTTATAACACTTAATATCCAGAAGTGATAGTCATGGCATTCAGTCTATGAAATATGTGTGCTGCTTGAGGTTGTTTTTGCCACAAATTTCTCTGAATTTTATTTTATACAGTAAGTTGTTCCATTACCATTTAAAAAATATATTCTTGTTTATAAAATATATATCCCATTCCACTACCCATAAACACATGTATAGAGATAGATATTTTGGCATAAAGATATTTATTTTGGAAATACTTGCTGACACTCACTCTAGCCAAATGAAAGCAGTATACATAGCAACACAGAGTTACAACTATTGCTCAATTATAGAGATGTCTTTCCTAAAGCTCACGGTTAATTCAGCAAGTGAATTTTCCCTTTACAATGAAATATATATAATAAAGTTTATTGTATTAAATATAGAAAAAAGGAAATATATAATTTTTATAAATATGCATGTTCAAATGTTTTTCTAAGACAAATGTCTTAAATATGGTCATTCAAAAAGAACACAGGATGCTGACATTTAAATGTCACATTTCAATTAGAGTCCCACCATGAACTGAACTGACCTGATAACGTTTAATGTTTTAAAAAATATCCTAATCAATATCTCATTGCAAAGTTTGTTGATAACATATGCCTAGCGAAAGTGTTGCTAAGGATCGAGTGTGCAAAGGGACCACCTTGTACACTGTGCTTTGCTGTGGCCAGGGCAGCAGTCGCCATCATCTGAGACCAGAGAGACAGAGAGACAGAGAGAGCGAGGAAGACAAAGACAGAAAGAGAGACACAGAGAAGACTAGGAAAGCCCCATTCCTGACATGTTTATATTCACTCAGTAGCCATTCATCCACAAGCTAAGTGGCAACTTATCTCCTTCTCCCTTCACAACACCCAGTGAGCCTCATATTGGTATTTGGGAACTAAATTCTCCTTTCACGTAATCCTGAGATTAATTTTTAAGTCAGGCCAGTTGTGAAATGATGCAATGGTGGGTAGAGATCGGAAACAACAGTGCAGTGTGAGTCCCGGCCCAGTTCTTTTCTAAAGCATGCTCTGCTAGAGACATTGTTTTGCTAATTATTTATCTTTCTTTATTAAATTTAACTTTTAATGTCCACTCACTGGTAAACTTTCTGCATAGACTGTATAGGCTGTATAACTGTTCTAATCTGGAATCACTTGCCTGAATGCATTTGACAACCACAAATGTCTAGCTCTCTGATAAAAAGACAAAAAGCCTTGGAAGGCATGAAATAAACCAGAAAACCATAATGGTTTTTACTTAGTAGACATGCTTGAATAATTTTCCTTTTTTGATTATTCTTGTTTTTATTGAATAGATGATGCTATTACTGACTGTTTTTGTACTTGGCTTGGGAAGAAAGCCTCTAAACTAGAGTAACGTGAACTCATCGGACTAAATTAATCCCTTTGACATCATTTTGATTCCTGTTGAGGTGTGGGATAATTGCCTGAACTGTGCGTGGCTGGGCAGATGAATGGGGCATTTGTTATACTGGGGTCTCTGAATTTGTGAGTATTTACCAGAAATCTAACCAATTCCTTTTGCTTTCCAGCCACTGAGATGTTAGAGAAGAGAAAAAACACCGGTATTTGCTACTGAGGTACTTGATGTGAAGAGAAATAAGAAAGTGGTGCTTCTAGTCCCAGGGGGCAGAGGTGGGGACTCTTTTAGGAGCATTTGGGAAGGATCATTTTAGGTTTCCATCCTGTACCTCCAACATATGTGCACTAAAGGCGCTATAAATTACTCACCATTCACAGGATCAATGAAGAACGCCTTAGAAGAGGAAAGGATTCTGTAAGAAATGTTCTCATTGCTTTCTACGTCTGTGGCCGACACGGTCAGCACTGAATACCCCACAGGTGCTGATTCAGGAACTGTGACCTGAGGGAAAAAGAGAAAAAAGGACATTTTGCTGAAAGGCTGAAGATATTTCCCCAAACAGGGCCATAACACGAGGTCATTTTATTCATTTTGACTATGAAAACCGTACAATACAAGCTGATTTTCTCAGATATGTCAATTTATAGAGCTGACATATATTTTAAAACTGTTAATAGTCCCCAGATTCAGAAAAAAACAAAATAAAGAAAATTTCATACAGTTTTGATTTTTATTATGAAAAATTTTCCTTCTAAGCTATTTTTATATGCCAGAAGGTAGTTAATACAGTCGCTAATATACATTATTACATTATATACCTTGCATAATCCAAGCAAGCCTACACAGACGATCATTACTTAGGTTAGTTTCCCCCGTGCTTACACTTAAATCTTTCACAGTCCTGGCGTCCATTTCCAGCCACTTGGTTGAATGCTATCATTGTCCTTACTTCTATAAATATATACTAAGCTCTAAGAACTAAAAATTTTCCCACTTTAGAGTTTGGTTCATGATTTTTTTTTCTGTAAAATGCTAATCAATACATTCCAAAAATATGCCTAGGAAAGAAAAAATTTGCCCAAATTGTCTTCAGATAATACAAACTGTCTTATCCGTGGCTTAGCAAATATTAGGCAAGTTCCAACTATTATGAACAATGGAACTCCAACCCCTAAAGACAAAAAAAAAAAAAAACAACACACGTATATATTTAATAACAGTGAATTGAATGAGACATTCATTTCCACATGTGCTAATAGGCTCCATGATATTAAATACAAAACCTGCAGCATTATTTTAGGCACTAAGAACAGTGAATACTGTCTACCTAAATTAGTCTGTCAACAATGGAAGGCTGACATATTCCCTGTTCTTTCGAGCTTTGGCTGTGGTTTCAGCCTCTCATTACCTGATAGAAATCTCGAGCAAACACTGGCGGGTTATCATTGACATCCAGCACACGCACTAGGAGTGCTCCCTCTGTGTGGTGCACTGAATCAGAAATTTGGATGAGCAGCTCATATTCAGCAACTTTTTCAAAATCCAGTGTTTCCACCAACACCACTACTCCAGTGTTCTGATCAATAGCGAACTTGGCTCCAGGGTTACCCTCTTTGGCGAAACTGAAGATGAAAGTTGGATTCAAATCTGCATCATGAACTGACATCTGAGTCACAATGACACCAGGCAAAAAATCTGAAACAGTCATGAGCAATGTCAGTCTCCATTAAAATTCATCCTCGGAGATACATTCCCTTAATAATTCAATCCAAGCATTTTTATTCTAAGGCCAACATGATTTGCTTTTTCTTGGCTTGATTTCTCATACAAAGCTCATTATGAACTGAACAAAAACTCTGAAGAATTTATGAGCCCAATAAATGTGAAAATTTACTACTGAGTAGGGAATTGAGATGTAGGGTATATTTAATATTACATTTTTTCATCATATGCTTACAGCACAATTCCAGAACCAAGAAACATTCTGAGCCACTTATTTGTACTGACTAGTTTCTGTATCAAAATCATACATCCATGGGGACGTGGATGGGAGGAAGGGTATTACTCAGAACAATAATACAAAACATAACATTTTGAGAAGTAGGACAGATTTAAATGGACATATTTGGGTATTGAAGTTAGAGTTAGATGCTTATTTCCTTGTATTTATTTTTGCAATATAATTTCTTTTGGAGTGACACATGTGCTGCTTCCTTCTTTTAAATCTGACTCTCGAAATTATCAAGACTATAGAAAAATGAATTACACATAGTACTAGCCATGAAAGCAAATCTCTAATATTTTTCACCAAAAAAAAAAAATAATAACAAAATAGATGACATGCTCAGAGTCTCGTTCACCACATGTGTTCTCCAGCCTAAACTGCCCATGAAAGGGACTTTGTTTTCAAGCTTACAGGTATGGGACAGGTGGAAAGAATATGCCAAAATACTCAGAATAGTCCCACTGTATGTAAGAGTCATAATTTTCAGTTTTCCAGCTTGAACATTCTTGATGTTCACCAACCACACCTTACCCCATTCAGCGCAATTTGATTTATGCAGTTTATTCTTGTGATATATTTATACTGGGCACATTGCTGTATTTTAACACTAATGCATGTACTTAAAAATAGTAAATATGTGAGAGGCAAAGCTGGAGAATTTTTTTATTTGTACACTGCAATATTAGTAGATATCCCTATGTATAGAGATTTCTGGTATGTATCCCTTTGTGAGAGGTAGTGATGATTTGTTTGGAAAGTGACTATAATGCAATGGTGGAAACATTTTAAGAAAGAGTTTGGTATTTAGAGTGAAAGGAGAGAGGCAAGCGAAGGGCAACCACTATTTCCACTTCAACTATAATGAGTTGGGTTGAGTTTTACCAGTGCAGCCACTGACCATGGGCAACTCTGAGTTCACAGACTATGGAGTCATTGAATAACCCACAGACCCAAACAATGAAGATTAATCAGTATATCACTTAAAATTTTATATTTCAACCACTACCATTGGTGTGGTACAAATGTTGAAGGTTAGGTTGCTCTAGGGGAAAATGATGGCTTTGTGCAGCCAACATGCAATTAATTCACTTCACTTATTATTTGTCATTAGTATCCTGCAAAGATCGACAGAGGTGTGAACATTGCTTCTTCTCAGAGGAGGTTCACAATGGTTATTATGGTCCACAAAATATGCTTCTTCATAGAGTAGATTTAATTTTCAAAAAATGTCTGTACATAAACAGATGCTGGGAGGAATGGCAGTTGGAGCATGGGGATTTGGCCTCCCACTGATCTGAATGTACATCCCAGCTTTAATGTTTAACTTGTTTGCCATTTGATGTTTAACTTATGACCATCTATTTTCTTTCTGTAAAATGAAGATAAGAATGATCTAGCTTGCATGACTATTGTACTCATATTTAACACAGTATCTGGCTGAAAAAAAATGGTAAATCATATTATACAAATTAATCAAAATCGCTATTCCAAATTGCCACACTTACTTTCTGCAATTTCCACTGCTTCAGAGGGGAGAAAATCTGGGGCATTGTCATTTATATCAGTCACCTGTATCTCAATCATGGTTGTATCAGAAAGCCTGGGCATCCCTTTATCTGTGGCTTGCACAATCAAGCTGGTTTGGAAAAGAATCAAAGAATGTTATTGACCATCCAAGAATTAGAAAAACAACATAAATATCAAATATCTAGTAGAAAATTTTAAAATGAGCTGACTAGCTGCTCTTATTTCTCCCCTGGCTTTTTCTAACTGGCGTCATTTAAAATTTATTTCATAAGAATGGTATCCTGAAATTTATTTATTTCTGACATGTTTAGAGAATCAAATCCAGCAAGTAACCAGAGGTCAT